CTGCAGCCCCAGCCTGCCATCACCTGGGGAAACGCACGTAGCCCTGGAGAGCGTCTATAAAACGGGATGAGGAGGCCGGCTCTCGAGGGCTGGGTGAAGTGAATTGAGCAGGGGTGTGCAATCGGTCTCTGCATGAAGAGCTGAGTGGCCCAAGTTCTCTGCTCACACTCAGCGATTATGGGATGTGTTCCTCCCTCACCTCTCGTCTATGTCTCTTTCCTCTCTTTCCTGAGTGGTGTGGCTGAGCACAAAAAGCACAGGGCAATTCTCCTCCAGCTTTAGAGAGCGTTTCTCCCCGTTCCTGTCCTCCCACCAGCAGAGACACCCCCAAGGCCGTCGGTTCTGCTCTGGGAGGGGCCTGCAGGGAAGGCTGCTTGGGTCCTAGTGGAAGGGCAAGGGCAATAGGCCGAAGTCCCCCATCTCTGCAGGGGCCTGGCACGGCCCTCCTCTGCCCAGCCTGCTGCCCAGTCTATCTGGCTCCGAAACAGATGCTGGCTCTGGGGCCGGCACCCGCTTTGGCACAGGGAAGTGGGAGCAGGGGCAGTTGCTCCTGAGACAAAAAGACGGGACAGCTGCCAGCTGCCGGGGAGGCCCCTGTGTATGGGACGTTAGACGGGGTGGGATGGGAATGTGATAGGCGTCTAGGCCACCCTACCCCGCTCACGGCTCACCTCCAGACGTTAATGGCTTGGGCAGGAGGCACTGAAGGCCTTTATTCTCAGAGGCCAGGCTCCCCGCCCACCCCCCACTCCTGCTTCTGCTCAAAAGAAGGCTTAACCCAGGCTGGTGAGCAGGTGGCTGACAGCTGCTCCCTCAGCGGGCAAGATTGTCTCCGAGGCTGCAGAGCAGGCCAGATGCCGCCCTCCTGCGTGAGAATGTTTCCTCCCGGCCGAGACAAGTCCCTCCGCAGAGCTGCCAGGAAAGGGCCATTTGCCAGAGGTGGGGGAGGGGAGGGGGGGACGAGGGACCCACAGAGCCCCTCTCTTCTCCTGCCAGTCCCTTTCTCTCAGCAACCGTCTGACCCTGAGTCGGGAAAGGAAACCGATTTGCCCTCCAGCCCTAATTGCCGCATACTCTTTCCCGCTGGAGCCAACCAACCCCCCTCATCCCTGTGATGCCTGGAAGGCTGTCTCCAGGAATAATGATCCGTAAGGCCCTAGAAGCCCCAGCTCCTCGCTCCCAGCTCCTCCCTTCCTTGCCATGACCTGGGACCGTGGTCAGCAAGCTGCGGCTCTCGAGCCACATGCAGCTCTTTGGCCCCTTGAGTGTGGCTCTTCCACAAAAGACCACAGCCTAGGCGAGTCTATTTTGAAGTAGTGGCGTTAGAAGAAGTTTAAAAAATTTGGCTCTCAGAAGAAATTTCAATCATTGTACCGTTGATATTTGGCTCTGTTGGCTAATGAGTTTGCCGACCACTGGCCCGGGGCAGGCCGCCATTTTAGACCCTAGTGGAGCTGCTGATTGAAAACATACTTGCCTTATTGCTTGCAATTGCTCTGACACGGCATTACTGGAAAACCCAGATTTCTTTTTTTAAAATACATGATGAAAACAATTTTCTTGAATATCCCTGGAAGCCTACCCACAGCTGTTCTGCATCAAAGGAGGTGGGGCGTGGGGGTCAGGGGAAGAGGGAAAGCTCTACTTTAATCCAGAGCTACTCACATACTGTGCACCTCGAATGACTACGTCCACATCCGTTCTATTTCCCGTATTTCTCCAAAGGATCCAATTCGGATCCTGGGATCAGTGACAAAAGGGCATGCTGAAGATAGCTCATGAGTTGATTTGTTTTGGAAAGACTCATATTTTTTTTTTTTTAATTGCCAATTTAAAATCCAGTTAATGCGCCTTTGAATGTCTCATGGAAAAGCCTGTGTGACGAGCGAGTGGTTCCTGTTCCACTGAGCTCACAGGGCACCGTAGCGTGGCCCTACCGCCCTGGCCAGGGCGGAGCTCCCTCCGGGACAAAAGGCACCTTGTTTTGTCTCTAGCGGACAGAGGTCCTGGTTTCTGGCAAGCTCAGCCTGCGTTCACCTGCCCTGTAGACTCTACTGCCAACAGCTCTATGATCGGTTCTGGCCCCCATGGCCCCCAGAAAAGGTTAGAAACAGCCCAGGGATGTCTGCAAACCAGGGCCTGCGTCTGTCATACTCACTGCACTCTCTTTTAAGCTCCTACACAGACTAGTTCCTACCCCCGCTGATTTGCTCAGGCCATCTCTAATCCTGGCAGCCACACTGCCTGCAGATGTAGGCTTAATTATTCCCCCTTCTGCTAAGAAGAAAACAGAGGCCAGGAGAGGCTCAGTTCCTCCCCAGGGCCACAGCCAGAGTAAGCAACAGAGTCAGGACTCAGTCTCGGGCTGGTGCGTCCACATTCCTTGTTCTTGACCATGTGGCTGGTCTGAGTGCCTGGGAGATGGGCCGTTTCTCCCGCCTCGGGAAGGGCTGCGTGGAGCCTGCACAGAATGGGTGCACGTGCCTGCCCAGAGGCAGGTGTAGGCAATAGAGGCTTGTCTCTGGGTTGAGGGAGAGGGGCGTGAACCCGCCCCCCTGGAAAAATGGATGGGCAGGGAAGAAGATGGCAGAGCTGTGCTGAGAGAAGGCAGAGGACTGACCGCACTGAAACAAAACAAACCCGGATAGCTGTGCCTGAACTCGGCCAGGGAAGAGCTGGGGCAGATAATTGGCTAATCCAATTTCTAGCGGCTTCCAGCCTCGGTCATTTTTCACCAGGCCTGCAGGAGCCCAGATTTCTGAGCCAGCAGAGGCAGGGAATTGACTCCCATTTCCAGCCCTACCTCCCTCACATCGGTGTATATACACATGCTGGAACCTTCCCATCCGTGAGCAGTTTAGCTCCAGCACCCCTCTCCCCCCTTTCCCACCACCCAGGTGCTTCCCCTCCCCATTCCACATTGCAGCTGGGGTTAAGAGCTCCGGTTTGGCTCAGTGGATAGAGCATCAGCCTGTGGACTGAAGGGTCCCAGGTTCTATTCTGATCAAGAGCACATACGTTGGTTTCAGGCACATCCCCAATAGGGAGTGTGCAGGAGGCAGCTGATCTATGTTTCTAACTCTATCCCTCTCCCTTCCTCTCTGTGAAAAATCAATAAAATATATATTTTTTAAATTTAAAAAGCACCAGTTTGGGTATATAATTCTGCCATCTGCAGGTTGTGTGACCTCAGGTGTGTTACTTAAGTTCCGTGTGCTTCAGTTCCCTCGTATGTAAATGGAGATAATAATAATATCTGCCCGCTGAAGTGGATTAAATTTCGCCCCGAACACCACCCCTGAAATTCATATGTGGAAGCCCTAACTCCTGGTACCTCCGAATATGACCGTTCTTTGGAGATTGGCCTTCAGAGGGGTGATGAAGTTCAAGTAAGATGGTCAGGGTGGGCCCAGAGCCAACCTGACTGGCGTCCTCAGAGGAAGAGAGGATTGGATGGGGGTGGTCACAGGGGAAAGACCATGTGAGGACCAGGTGAAGGTGGCCATGGACCAGCCAAGGAGAGAGTTCTCAGAAGAAACTCACCCTGACTCTATCTTAAACCTCCAGCCCCCAGAACTGTGGGAAAATAAAATTTTTGGTTTTGTAAGGCACTCAGTCTTGGCATTTTGTTATGGAAGCCCTAGCAAACCGATACACTTCCTCGCAGAATTGTTGAGGAATTCAACTAGAGGAAGCATAGAAATGGCCCCGAAAAGTCCGTGGCTCCTAAGAGTTCTCTTTTAGTGTTGCCACTTTGGAATATGCAGCCACTTACTCTCCTCACCTCTCATTTGGTGAGTCCTTTGGGATCTGAGATCTACCTGTATCTCCTAGGCCAGTGGTTGGCAAAACTCATTAGTCCACAGAGCCAGATAGCTACAGCACAACTACTGAAATCTCTTTTGAGAGCCAAATTCTTTAAACTTAAACTTCTTCTAACGCCACTTCTTCAAAATAGACTCACCCGGGCCGTAGTATTTTGTGGAAAAGCCACACTCAAGGGGCCAAAGAGCCGCATGTGGCTCGCGAGCCGCGGTTTGCTGACCACTGGCCTAGAGAAAGGGTCTTCCAGGAGACCCGGGCTTCTCCCAGCCCAGAGAGCCCGAGGCCGGTCCCAGATGGCATGTGCGCTAGGTGTGTCCCCCTTGCTCCCTATCCTCTCCTCCCTCCCTGCTCTTAGTGGTCCTGGAGCGGTCAGGAACCCCCGGGGAGCCATGGGGTCAGAGGGAGTAGAAAAGCTCAGCTGGAGAGGATCCAATTATAGCCCCTCCCCAGTGAGCAGCCTCGGGTCTGCAGGAGCCCAGGCTACCAGGGAGCCTAGCCCAGGCCACATCATTAGAATTTAGGATTGATCATCTGCATCACCAAAGGCTTTTTCATGTACCGCAGAGCATTTACCTAAGAAGAAATATCAGCTTTCCTTTCTCTGGTGCATTTTAATTACTTGGATTGTCAAGGTTTTGTCTATCCCTATCATCACTACACCTAAAAATTGAGCTTTTTGCAAGCAGACACTACCCTTCACTCTCCTTCCGTCCCCTCCTGGGAACCTGATCACCAGAGACATTCAAAGAGTTGGTGACGAATGCACTCTTCGGGGATACACCGATTGTATAAAGTGAGGACCGTCATGAGCAGGACCAACCTCTCTGTTTCAGATTGCCCAGCTGAACAAACACACACGCCACCCCTCAGCCTTTCTCTTCCTTGCATTATCCCTCTGCAGGTGGTACTAAGACAAACACCACCTCCCGTGTGTGTGGCCTTTTACAGTTTCAAAGCCACTCTCGTAACCCGAGGTCACTTTCCACCCCCGCATTCATCCCAAACCATCCCCATCCCGTGTCCACCCACTCGGCCGCCACTTTGCCAGCGGCTGGCCCCCTGCCAGCCCGGGCTGGGTGGGGCCCGGCGAATGTTCCCCCGGGGTGTCCACGTGTTGTGTGAAGCGGTGCCTCAGAAAGAGCCGGCTGGCCAGAAACGTGGGCGGACAGCAAAGGGCAGCGGGTTCAGGTTCTGTTTATTATGTCTCAAAGGCTTGTTTATAGTCAAGGTGAATGACATGATTCGGTTTTGCACGGCAATGAAACCACTCAATGAGGACTCCACCAGCCAAGCGCTCTGGGTGGCAGGTGAGCTGCTGCTACAAGTGTGCACGCCGCGTGACTCAGCTAGTGCTACCGTGGTTGGGGAACACACCCAGGCCAGCCACCTTCTCTGCACCTGGCAGAGGGGTGGGAGCAGGAAGGGAATCAGAATTAAAAAAAAAGGGACGAGGCAGTTTATGGAGAGGTCCCGGTCCCCCGTCGGGAAGGCCAGTGTCCCCATCCTGCAATCTCCCATGTGGTCCACAGCATCGAGCTGGAGTCCAAAGAGGCTCTGGGGACAGGAAGACACATCTGCTCCTGCGTTCTTCCTCCAAGCCTCCTGCCTCGTGGCACAGGATCTTGATGCCAGGGGGACTCTGCCACCTCTCTTGCTTCCAATCCGGGGGGACAGATTTTCAGAGGATTGGCATGGGCCGATTCAAGGATAGCTGCGAGTGGAAAAGCGTAATTCCTTGGCCTTGCTTGGACGTGGGCACAGACAGGGTAGGGAGGGTGCTGGGCACGCTTGTGGGTGGGAGCCCTTCCTGCCTCTGAGAATGGGCCTCACCCTCTCTCCCTTCTGGTTCATGGAGAAGCAGACCCCACTTTCCCTGTTCATTCCCCCCTCCCCCTTATCTTCCCAGTTCCTCCCTCCCCCAGCTCTCAACACAAAGGGTTCATGCTCTCCCCTCACAGCCCAGGGTCTGCAGAGCCCAGACACTGGCCCTGCCTGAGGAGGAGTGGTGCCAGGGCCTACAGTCTGGGCAGGACACTGCCCACAACTTCGGCTGATTCAGAGCTGCAAGCACCAGAGGGTGAAATCAACTAGGAAGCTTCTAGGTGCCCATCCTGCCTGACCCCAAAGAGGGAATGGTGAGGGCCCAGAGCAGGGACTGGAGCCCCACGGTGGCCTTGGCAAAGGAAGCCTCGGAGAGCTTGATCTCCCCAGGATGTGACGCCCTCCTGTGAGGGATCTGCAAGTGACTGTGCTCCCGCCATGAGGACGACCACACACCTTCACCCGCTACCTGAGCCCCAACTACTGTGTTGCGTGGCCTTGGGGACAGAGGCACAGACTAACATAAAACAGCCAAACGCAAGAGTGCATGGAAACAAACAGGGGAACAGCCTGGGAGGCCAGCTTGGAGAAAGCACTGAGAACAAGACGTGGGGGGAGGAGAGAAGGTAACAAAACCTCTCTTAACCAAGTTCCCCTCAGCCCCCACTTTCGGCATACTGCTGCCCAACAACGCATGGAGCTGGAGCAGAAACATGATATTTGTATCTCAAAGGAGCAAGGCAGACTGAAAGGGCACAGAGGCGGCCACCCAGCAGTCACCCTCAGGGCTGGCAGGGTCCTGGTCCCTGTGCTTATGTGAATCTGGGGGGGTGGGGGGGCCCAGCCCTCTGGCCCACAGAGTGGTGTTTCCCGCTCAGCTGTGTCCTCCTCACTCCTCAGGCCCATGCTTCCTAGCCTCACCTGTACATTGGAAACACCTGTGAAGCTTCACAAACTAATGCTTTGGGTCTCAGGGCCAGGCTGTTCTGGAGTGGGACCTGGACATTTGGGTTTTTAAACTTCAGGAATTTGCAATGAGCAGCCAAGGGTGAGAGCCACCATCTTAGACCATCTCTCTTCTAAGTGTGGTTCACTACGCACCTAGGAGCTCATTAAAAATGCAGATTTCTGGGTCCCACCCTAGGTCTATTGGATCTGCATCTCTGGGTGTGGAACCTGGGAATTAGAACTTGTAACAGGCTTTCTGGGGTGGGCAGTTTCCTTGAAGCTCAAGTTTAATAATAAATACTGCCCAAGGGCCCTTCCTCACCTCGGAGGTTCCCCAGGGCTGTGAATGGCTGTCACTCTGATCACTGGCTCTGTCTGTTTGCCCAGGGCAACAGGAAATTCCACACCAGCCCCAAACAGCTTGACATTCAAATGGGGCCCAAAGGCCACTCCAGTTGGAGAATGGTCCTGAAAGTCATACATTTGCCTAGCTCCCTGCCCGACTTGCCCTGGACCTTCAAAGGTCCCAGGCACAGAGCAAGCCTGGAGCCCAAAAGGCAGTCTACTGCAGAAGCAAAAGGAAGACTTTAAATGGAAGAAGTGGCCCCTTTTGGGGGGCCCACCTAAGAAGGCGAGGCGATGAGGGCTTGTGGGAGAGGAAAGAGGACAGGCAGGACCGGGAGGTGGAAGGTCGGGGATGAGGTATGCTTGGATATTGCTCTAGATTTTGTAAACATTTCTCTTTGTTTTATCTCAGACCAAAATCTGGGTTGGCATCACCAAAGTGCCTGAAAGGAGGCATGAGAGCAGAGAGCTCTGTGCCGTTTGTGAGAAGCAGGATGAACAGGTGTGCAAACAGCTCCACCCCCACGGGAAGACCATCTCTGTGGTTACTAGTCTAATGCTCACAGTTCTCTCTCTCCTCCCTTCCCTTCCCCCTCTCCCCCACTCTCTCTCTCTCACACACACACACACTCCATGGGAGTACCATAAGCGTAACGATCATGTTCCTCCACACATGCCCACATACTAGCAGCAAAATTCAGGATACCCAAGCTTGGTCCTTCATGCCTCCCCGTCGTGGGAGGAAGTCACCAGGCGCCATGACACCACCATCTGTAGCCTTCATTCCACCAATGGTTGGCAAGATCTCTAGGGCCCCAATGAGGCCACCGCACAACACTCTTGTTCAGATCTTTCTCCGGGGGATAGTGGAAGTGGTAAAAAGGCCCCTCTTAGAACGTTTCTGATTTCCATAATGCCGTGCTGTTCCAATTTCTACGCACCTCATTTTCGACAGTAGAGTTGGCAGCAGATGTACATTTCGAATGTAAACAATGTTTAAAATACCCTGTTTGAGAATTTGATCATTACATTAATCCTGGCAGCGTTAGCTACGGATGGTTGTTGTTTTGTTTTTTTCTACCAGTGGGGGGCAAGGGAATACTTACTTCCTGATCTAACTAGGAACACCCACTTTTGAGGCTTCAGAGTTCTTGAACATGAAATTCCACTGGTGTCTCCGGTGTGAGAACTGTAGGCATGAGTGCTCTTTCTCCTTGGTTGTTCATACCGACACACCAATCCTCGTGGATACTATGTGCAATGGCAGGGCAGTACCCAACACCAGTGGGACTCGAGAGCCTGCCTGACCTTGTCTAGCTGCAGCCAAGGAAGGAATAGATTCACACAGTTCTGGACAGGAATGGAAACACTGGAACCCCTGCCTGTCTGAAAAGGCCCATCACCCCACAGGAGGAGACTGCTTCAGCCCAGTTCTCAATCACCTGTGCTCCAGGGTTTACATCTAATCAGATGCTGTTCCATTTAGTCAAGCTAAACGCTTTGGAGATCTGCCATGCCTCCCAGTCCATCCACTTTGAATTGAACTCCCAGGAGTTCCTTTGCCACATTCTCTGTGATTCAGTTCACCCAGAGACCAGCCTCTTCCAGGGCCCTCTTCCAGTTTCTCGTCTCTCTGCCGAGGATTCATCTCCTTGGTACTGCAGTCTTGTGCCAAAGTCAGCTTTTTCCAGAGCAGCTAGAGTAGGTTCCACGTGTCTCATTCTTTCTCTAAGTAAGAGTTTCTTGACATATTTTCAAGATCAGTCCCAGGGTACCATGAAAGCATTTTAGGAAGGTTCTCCACAACCAAATGTCACAGTGATCTTCTTTGCCTCGTGTTTAATCCCAAAAGGTCAAAAACAAAAAAGCTGCTGAATCGCCAAGGTGGCCCTCATGAGAAGGACCTTTCTAAAAAAGCACGCTCCCAGGAAGCAAGCTGGGAAAGAGTTATGGCCTATGTTCCCATTCTCCCTGTCATGATTACATGACCTGCATTGGGGGGGTGCGGGGGGGGAGAGACAAAGAGGGACAGGGAGAGCATTAGGCACCGTGAGAGCTGTCCATGCGATGGGAATTCGCCTCCCTTTGCCAAGCTGTCTGTCATTCTAAGAGATGGGTGATGTGTGATGCCACAGGGAAGCGAGGGCAGAGAGTACATTAAGCAGCAGAAAGGTTATATGCTGTCCCACTGCGGAAAGGTCTACTGGTGCTACATTTCCTGGCTGTTCAACTTCTGAGAAACTTCCTGGTAGAAGTTACGGAGATAGGCAAGCTGTATCTTTCTTAATAGCAGCTCCATATCAGAAGTGGGGAGGGACATCTCCCAAGACCCTTTCTGAAAGGGTCTTACGAGGATAGGGTAGCCTTGTGAATATCCTAGACTAAGATGGGCAGTGAGCACACTGGTGGTATGGAAATGGAAGAAACAGCCAACTCCATGGAGTTTGCCCCTTCTCCCAGGGGCCGCCTATCAACAATAGTTCTAGAAACCTGGGATTTCAAAGGGACTTATCTCCGAAACTGTGAGGTCCCAGCACCCGGGACTGGCGGTTACACTGTGATAGCAAATCACAGGAGTGTGCCAGTCTTCTAACTCTTCCTCGCAGGGGTACAGGACAAGTTAGAGTGTCAGGAATCCTAACTGAGGAGAGGGTGGGAGGTACAGAGGCTGCATTCTATTATTTACAGATGAGCCCAGCCTATGAATCTGCCTTCTCAGTGGAGATGACCCCAAGGCATTATGGAGGGCAAGTTGCTGACCCAGAGAAGGGTGAGTGCAGCAAGGTGCTACCACTAACCAAAACGCAGATATGGGTAAATGAAATAGAATCCCAGTTCTGGTGACTAAATGACACTTAGGAATGGCCCTTCACCCCCTCCTCACCCCAGCCTCCCAGCCTAACCACCAATGCTCTAGAACACCCCTGACATTTCACGTTAAAATATGGTCTTGGCAGCAAGGGGCAGGGAAAGCCGGTGATCTCCAGGAGTCCCCATCTGAGGTCTAGCTGAGCCGCCTCTGGCTTTGGGACAGCAAATCTAAGTACATTTTGGACCTCAGGAACCTGGGGTAAGAGTCTTTTTCCATGAGGCTGTGTACTTTTCCCTGGGCTTGGTCAAAGCAAGTCAGGGATGGCTCTTGCATGTTCTTCCTTGTGGCCTCTCGAGTCTGGAAGTCTATGTTTACCTGGAGACACAAACAGACAGCATGGTCACGGGCTCTCCAGGGCCAAGGCGCCTGGCAGCTGGCCCTAATTATGTAATAATCAATGGCAGCAGCTGATAAGATGAAAGGCTAATCAGGCTTTTCAAACAGGTTTCATGGAGGTCATCCCTTCTGATTCTAAATAGAATCCTATGAGGTCTGAAGGCCATATAGTCTTCATCCCAGTTTATACATCGAAGAGATACTGAAAGGCTGTTCTAAAGTTATATGGAAAGTCAGTAACAAAGCCAAGGCAAAACCCCAGTTCAATTACCTCTTAATCCAGAGGCCTTTGCAATGTTAGACAAAGGGTTAGACTAGAGACAAGTATTAATGCTGGTTCCCTAAAGTAAGCTTGCCCTCTTGTCCTTTCTTAACTACTATGAAAACAAATGCTCCAGGCAGAGAGACTGTGGTTAGAATGCACATCTCTGTTCCAAGCAGCATTATAAGAAGCCTACAGCATCCTGGCCACTGGCCAGAGGCCTCCTGCAGCCCAAGTCAAAGCACAGCTGAAGAGTTCTAGGTATGTGATGCACCTAAACTCATTGACAACAACCACTTTTCTTCTAAAAACCCTCCCAAGTAAAATTATCTTTTATATATCAAAATAGCAGTGCATTGAATTCATTTCCTTATAAGTAATTATAAGAAGTTATGATAAAATCATATAAATGACTGTCATTAATAAGCATTGACAAATAATCAGTAGGTCCTTTACCCCTAATACCTACAGTAGGCTTGAAAGGAAGGTGATATTAGATCCTTTAATATCCAGGGAAATGTGACTCAGAGAGGCTAGGTAACTTAACTGAGATCACACAGATAGTACGTGGTGGAGCTGAGATTGGAACAAGATTCCCAAGTGGATGCTCATTCCATTAACCAGTGTTTCCCAAAGTGTGGTACGCGTACCCCCAGGGGTACGTACGGGAAGAGTTTGGTGGGGGTACGCGTTGCACCGGAGTTTGGTGGGGATATGCACTGCACCGTGCTTAGCTGCGCCTAATTCTATGTTCTCATGAGTACGAGGGGTACTCAGCGTTACGAAAATTATAGAAGGGGTACACATATGTAAGCCATGCTGCTTCCCACTAGGAAAACTCACATGGAGTCAGTGGTGATTCTCCTTGTCGAATCTCTAGAGAACCACAGTTCCCGCAGGCAATGTTTAACTGGCAGACAGCTAAAACGCTCCTACTGGAGCTCCTTTGTACAAGCCCTTGGCTCTGCTCTTAAAATGATCCCCCCCCCATTCATCAAGAGCCAGCTAGCTCAGTTCAAAAGAAAGTCCCACTCATGCCTGGCTCAGACCCCCATGAGGAGGGAAGTCTGAGCCAAGAGCCCTGGATAGAGGCCTGACAAGAGCTTGCCACTGCCAACACACCTCCCTCGGAGCTTGCACATCCACAAACTCCTCAAAAATCCTATGTGCCTTGGAGACCAGTTTTGCAGTTGACCTGGTCTTCTTGAACTCCTCACAGGCCAACCAGAATTCCAGGTTCTCCTCGCTGAACTCCGTCTTCAAGAAGGCGAGAAACGCAGCCACCCCATCTGTGGATGTGGAGGGAGGTGGAAAGGAAGAGAGATAGGAAGAAGCTTAGGCATAAGGACTGCAGGAGGAAGGAAGAAAGAAAGGCAGTAATAATGCCAGAGTGGCCCTGACTAACCCCCACTGTGCCTCCATAACCTCTTGAAGACTTTCTGCTCTTGGACATGCAGATAGTCTCAGAGGCAACCGTGCTATTAAGAAGAAATGCTTAGGAAACCACAGTAATAATGACTGTGGGAGGGCCTGGTCACTTCCAATCAGCCGTCAGTGGTCACTGCCTGTCCCCTAATGCAGAGTCGGCTGCCCCCTGGGTCTACTGGTGAGCCTGTGTTTCTAATGAGGCCGAAGTAATGCATGTAATCTATTCCTTACCCTAATACAAGCCAACCACCCTGGAAAAAAAAAACGAAAAAAAAAAAACACCAATCTATTATAAAATGAACTAGAGGGAGGTGTGAATTCCTTAGGGCAATTCCTTCACTGCCCCGACCAGAGTCATGTCTGAAGGTGAACATACCCTGAAATTCAGCTGGTAATGCCCTTCTAGTACATGCACAGGGTTCCCAGCCTCCTTTAAAAAACCTCTGAGGCCATGTATTTTAATGGTTTACAACATAGTTCATTTATTTCAAAAGACCTTGCCTATCAAATTATGTGTTTTAATTAAGATTAATTATAGCCTTTGTTCTACATGACTTAATCGAATATACCCTTTCGCTTTTATCCAAGCACGGCCTCCGATCAGAATAAGAGGTGCAGGATTACCACCCAGATTTGGAGAAGAAAATAGCATTCGTTGATAGTCTATGAATTTCAGTTAATGTTTTCATTTTAAATATTTTAATGAATTACTTCAACGCTTACCACACTGTCCTTCAAATGAATAACAATGATAGCTTTCTGCAAGCTATCCTGCAGCAGCCTGGCCACTGACAGCCCAAAGTTCCTTCCCTCAGGGGAAGTGCAGAATAGTCACTGCACTAGTAAAAATGGCTCCCGTGCCCTAGCTGGCTTGGCTCAGTGGATAGAGCGTCAGCCCTGCGGACTGAAGGGTCCCAGGTTCAATTCCAGCCAAGGGCACATGTCTGGGTTGCAGGCTTGATTCCTAGTAGGGGGCGTGCAGAAGGCAGCCGATCAATGATTCTCTCTCATCATTGATGTTTCTATCTCTCTCTTTCTCCCTTCCTCTCTGAAATCAATACAAGATTAAAGAGAAAAGAAAAGAAAAGAAAAGAAAAGAAAAGAAAAGAAAAGAAAAGAGAAAATGGCTCTGGCTATAATGATTTACTTCTTTCTAAAATCCATTAGGAGGGCAATATGTGAGCAGTTCTTAATTCTGGGGGATGGGATGCCCTGCTCGATGACTGAGGTCCACCAACACGCCCCAGAACAGTGCGCTGGATTATTTGATGGATTGGCGGTGCTACGCTGTTGATATATTTGAATGTTTGCTTTTACTTTTCTGAAACATTTTTATTTCTCCTAATTAAAAGGCCACTATTTGTCTTTCAATATAGACTGATGCTACAACAATGGCCATAAAAAAGCCAAGACTTTTCATTGCAAGAGCCCCCAACGTGAGAGAGAAAAGGACTCCCAGAGCTAAATTTGAAATCATAAATAAATCTAAATTTGGAGGCATGAGCTGAAACTAGAAATGGTCATGAACTCATCATGCAAGCCAAGACATTTCTGAGCGTAAAGGGGAGTACTTCTGCTAATCACATAGGGAGACTGGGCATAAACCATGACCCCCACAGGCAAAAAAACCAGGACTTCTAGTCACCTTATCTCTTCGATATAGAAAATGGAGAAAGCAGAAAATGATGTAAGCTTGTTTTCCCTTTAGAAAGGATGGAAATAAGCTTGTTACGGGGGGGGGGGGGGAGACACTCAAATAAGAGCACTGCTCTGGATCCCACCCAACCTCATTCCTACATCAGTTTGAAACCCTGAGAAGAGGGATTAGAAACCCCAGGTAAACTGAGCATCAAAGTGACTGTGAAACAGTGGCCTGGCAGTGGTTAGGCAGAGAGGTGGCCTGAGAATCATTCACTCAACTCAACAAAATATTTCAAAACTACTAATGTACAACTACATACTGTGCGAAGTCTTGTGATACCTCAGAAACAAATTTAAAAATCTCCGCCCATAAGATCCCTTGTGATGCTCTCTTTGCTACCTGCATCGCCTCCAAGTTCTCCCAGGGGAGGTCCAGAAGCATCCACAGGCTCCAAAGAACTCAAACTTGAGAGCTAGACCACCTGCCAGGAGAGGGCCACCACTCTGAGGCCACAGGCAGAGTCACCACTCCGAGGCCACAGCTGGATAAAAACCCAGCTGAAGCTGTGGAAGCCTCTGAGGAGACACTGCCCAAGACAGCCAAGGTGGCCTTGGAGTGGGACCAGTGCACACGTGACAAGAGCCATGGACACTCTCAGGGAGGACCTGCTGCCTCTCCACGGCAGTCAGGGAGTGGAAAGGAGAGGCTGGGGGGAGGGCCCCAAAACACGATGTATTTATCTAACAGAGCTAATGCAAAATGACTTAGAGGAGGAACGTGGGAGAGCCTGTTGGGAAAGCTCAAGTTTATTGTTTGCGTTAGATTTTGTTTTGCTTTTCATCAAACAAAAATGGGTGTTTGTGGGCAAGCCAAGCTTAGTTACAGAGAAAGAAAGAAAATTACCATCCTGCCTCCATCGACAGGATTGGGTGACGATAACCCAGCTAAGGAAACTGGCCTTATGCTCCGTGAGGTACAGACGTTATCTCTTTTCCTCTAAGCCTCAGCTTTGTTGGGTCTTTGTGTGAATTAAAGAGATAACACCTGCAATGTGCTCTCAGGGACGTTGCTTTGCTTCTTTCCATCGTGAGGGTGAGGAAACTGGCACCTAGAGAATTGGCTTGCACAGAGAGAAGCTTCAGCGAACCATGGGCATGAGAAGGGTGGAAAGCCTCCGAGGCTGTGGGATCCTGGCCGCTTCCCCAGAGCAGAAGGCCTCAGAGGGCTTCTGAGTACAGACTGCTGGTCCCCCACCTCACCCACCTTTCCTGCTTATGTCCCCCAGCAAAGGGATTGTAGGGAAACAGAGCCAGCAGGGTTTCTTCTTCCCACCTGCATCCTTCCCTCCCCTCTACCACCTCCCATAGCTTCTCAGCAAGGTTTTCCTCTGGTCTTCTCCCTGACCTCTCAGCATCTTTTCCTGTCCCATTTTTTTTTTTCCTGCCCTCTGTCCCTTTCACTGTTTTTTCCCATCATTCCCTTTCTCTCCACAAAGACCCCTTCTGCTTGCCCAGGCACTGCAATTGGTTTAAAATGCAGGATGCTGGTTTATCTCGGAAAGGCTCATGGGCATGTATAGGCACATCTCGGTGTGACCTGCATTGTGATAGCTGTGCAAGGGCTCCATGCACTCCACTCTGCATGCCAGATGCTGCTCTCTCCCCCCCACTCCAGGCCCCCCCCTCCCCATGTCCAAGGAACCAGAGCCTCCTCCGCCATCCCCACAGCTTCCAGGCAGCTGGACAGAGTGCCTTCTCTCTGATCCCTGAGGCTGTTCTCCCTGGGATCATGTCCGGACACACACTAGCTAGTGTGACTTTGGGCAAGATGCTAGCCTCTCTGGGCCTCAGTTCTTTCATCAGTGAAATGCAAACCCTAACCCTGGCTAGTGTGTTTCAGTTGGTAGGGCATCATCCTGTGCACCAGGAGGTTGTTGGTTCGATTCCCAGTCAAGGGCACATGCCGGGTTGAAGACTGGATCCCTGGTAAGGAGGCAGCACATCGATGTTTCTCTCTCTCCTTCTCCCTCCCTCTCTCTCTCTCTAAAAATAAATAAATAAAGAATTTTAAAAAATGCAGACCTTAACATCACTGCCCCAGGGGACTGTGGGGATGATCACATAATACATGTAAACAGCACACAGAGCCTGACACTCAGATCATAAATGTTCCCTCCATGTTTGTGATCATTATGCCTGCTTTAAGGCACCATCACACAGAACACAACATGCCTAATACCAGAACATAATCCTGGTCAATTAAAGGCATTGGGTGGTGAACAGTTCAAGAGAGAAACATGAGGATCTGCCTTCCCCCCATCCCCCACTTCCCTTTGGTTTTCTTTGTAGGGTCCTCTAAGAAGCCCAGGCTCTAAGAACATTACACATTTTTTGAGATCGGTGTCTAAGGCTCCTGTCCAGGATTCCTGGAACACTGAGCAGAATATTGGCATCCTCCGGAGCAGGCACAGGCTCTCCAAGAACACAGCCCGTGGCCGCACACGCTGCCTGCTGCCGGCCTGCTCTCCCTGGTTCTCCAATGCGGGATGCTTACATAAGAAGGGAAACTGGGTCGCTGTGAATGAGCGGTGCAGCTGGTGCAGCAGGGAGATTGGCTTGGGTAACGGTTCAAGGTCCAGGAGCCCTGAGTGAGCTGGCATCGAGGGGGTAAGCTTAAGCCTAGCTCGGTTCCTAGGCCTGGAAAATTACAAGATCACAAGCAATTTTTTTTTATTTATTTTTTTTTTAGCTCTCTGTTTACCAAAGGGCAGTCTCAAAGACCAGAGTCCTCTCGCATCCCTGATCAATTGGAAAAAATAAACTGGTGAGTGGGTTCCAAGGTCAGGCAGAGAATAGGAGAGGAAAACACATTTGTTTATAAAATCCAAGATACATGCACTAATGGTGAAGTCAAAACCACTTTCATCCCAGACCAAGTTCTCTAATTTGAAATTTGTGATAAGCATAGCATCCTACGTGTTTGTATTTAAACAGATAACTAGGGCTAAACAAGATTTAGGTAAGGGCATTATGTCAAGGGCAAACTATTTCCAGTTACTGCCATTTATTAGCAAACGATTGGTATGCTAATTGCACTTCAGACTTGTGAGTAACATTTCCTTCAATGATCTCTACTGTGTTAGGGTATATATAGCAAGGTGACATATTATAAGAGTAATAGGACATGATGGTTGTTAGAACCTTTAGCCAGAAAGGACAT